TATAGTAGTGAAATCTGCCGTTGGGATAGCTTGTGATTCTGCGCATTTTGGGAGGACTGCAGCGGGGCTGTCGAAGCTTTTTGCTTAGAGAAAGCTAACCTTAGGTCACCGACCTTATGTTCTTTCCAAGAACCAGTACAAGTGTAGCGGGTCGCTATCCGCTACTTTTAAGTATTAAAGCCTTATCAAGCTTCTGTTCAAAACAAAACTGTATTTAATTGTGTCAGTTGCGGCAGAGCCGCCAATATCTTAAGCCCTATGTCTTCCTAAATAATAAAGCAATACCACATTAAAATAGCAAAATCTAACAAGTAGTAATATGTATTACTACTGGCAATCCTGCCACCTGGTGGCTTCTTGTTACGGTGTAGCCACACCACTGTTAACTGTGTAATATATACATATGTACGGTCGCACAAGATTGTGCGATCCGCCATCGGAATACACCAAAAAATTTAAATTTTGGTAGCGGGGATTGTGACAGACTTTGTTTAGAAACGTAATGGTTCGCTTTCCACGGATGAAATGCAGCTCGCTCTGTATCATTCGCATCCACCTTTCCTCTGTGAAGGGCAGAAGAAATGTATTGGTCGCAGAGTACAGATTTTGTGCGGCGAGAGACCTTTGAAGTCCTGGAGATCAAAATTGCGAGAGCGCCGGAGCTAAGGAGGAAGAGAGTGATCTCTCAGATACCGATCAGGTGCGAATGATATATCTGTGGCAATACCAAACACGTACACCCTGGAGCCCCCCCACAAATCTTGATTTACGGTATGAAAGGTCGAGGCATGCAATGGAGGCGGCCTTTCAGGCTGTGAGCGGAATATATCAGCGTATGCGAGTATTTACGTATTTACCAGACAAGACCAACACTGCTCATGAAAAAAGGGACTGTGATCGAGTTTGCCCTCGTCCAGTGTTCAAAATCGTTTGGGATGTTTAAAGATTGCATATTGCTGCACACAGTGACGTCGTCATCACAACACTACAGACAGGTTAAAAGGTCTCTGTATTTGCCGATTATACCTTTGATAAAGCGTAGAAAAAATGCAGTGGCAAGTTTTTGGTCGCAATAACGCGACCAAAAATCGTCGCATACCATAATCATGACGTCGCACTATAAAAAACAGTACGTCCTGCGTCCGAATTGGCCGCAACGTGCGGTGCTGAAACGTATGATAAGTTAAGCTTTAAGAGCTTAGATGTCGCTTTATCGGGACGATTGTACTTTTGCACAGCTATTCTTTTCCCACGCTGCTATATTTAGCTCTTATCCACTTTACATTCAGCGTGTAATAGATCCTCTTGATGAGGAGCTTAAAAACAGAATGCTATACGAAGCACATGATACCTTCCTGAGTGGTAACCTTTAGCTCTTATCCACTGTACATTTAACGTGTAATAGATCCTCTTGGTGAGGAGCTTAAAAACAGAATGCTATGCGAGGCACATGATACCTTCCTGAGTGGCAACGTCGGTCGAAGAGATTTAAACTGCTCGGTTATCACTACGGATTAAAGTGATCGTTTTGGATGGGTGGCGCGACATGTATAGGTAGATTAGCTTATGTGCTCACGTGTTGAACATGTCAACTCATTCGAGCCTCGCCGCATATATTGCATTTTGTTGTCGGAAACTTCGACTAGTCTGCCAAATAAAGCCGAATGTTAATGGTCCATTGAGTTTCGGTCTTTCGAAAGAGCTGTCCTGAAAATACCTAGTTTGTGGTATTTTGGATTATCTGAGCAAGACAACTCACCTCGCTGTTGGCAGCGACAACGTAGTCGATAAGGATGCAGACGAGCCGTTCGTCGGCAACATATTTACTCAATATGGCTTGCTGGTGGACATTGAATCGAATAGAGCTCGCATATAGCAAATTTAACATATTTATTCAAGGTATTCAAGGTAGCGGTCAGAGTAAAATTGCCAAGCGCGAATCCCTCGAAATCATATGGTCATATAGCAGGTCACTCTCTGATCAGCAATTAAGCCATCAAGTGACCAAGCCAACATCGAAGAGCGTTGCTCGCCTATTGGGCAAAGGACAATTCCAAAACTCTACCCATCCTTAACTGAGATTAAGACACGAATTTCGACATAGACCGTTTCTTCGTTGACGTTGGATCGCCGTCTCACCAAGCCTACCATAGCCAAGCGGAACTGGTGATAGCTTGTTTGCTTTAAGAACGAGAACAAGATGGGAATTTTGCTTCGCCGAGTCGGAGCTGGCAGGCCCTATAGTCGTGACTGAGCAAGATTTGGCTCTTGTCGTCGTAGTGTTGTCTCTAGCGATACTGCAAGTGACTCCAGCTGCGAGCCACGTCGGAGGCATCAGAATCTGAATCCGGACAAGACTCCCACGTGTTCTTTTCCGATAGCCTCGTCACCAAACTCTGTAGAAGTGTTGCGATTCAATTGCTTCTTTCTATGATGACAAGTCGACCGATCCTCGCGATCGACTCCGACCAACGACGCTCTCTACAAGAGTCTGAGAGTGGAGGTGGGTTTGAACGTGAAAACGATAAAAGGACTCCTAAAGTGGAAGAGCGCTCATGGTGGGCAAATCAAAAAATTGCAGCAAAACTGCATGAAAGATCACGGCGAGAGCCTTTTAGAATTTATGCAGAGCAGAACACAAAATTTGGCATTTTGATATGTCATTCCGAATGCTTGGTTTTGGAGTTTGAACTAAGGTTTCAACAAGTTCGTGATGAACCATGTTTGAACTAAGGTTTCAACAAGTTCGTGATGAACCATTTGATTCCGAATTGACGCGAAGTCTCGTGAGACTTCTCACTCTCTGTTGAAGAAGCAGGCGGTGAGTTTCATTGTCGCTTTCAAGCGTTGGAATCAGTAAAGGAGCAATCCGTTGATTTTTTTCAACGCTTGTACGCCGAGAAGAGTCTTCGGGGTATAAAGCTGATTGCTCTCCATGGTCAGTTGTAGGAACTTCATGATCAGATTGATCACCTGCCAAAGATAAAGTAGAACCTGCAGGCTCGCTCAAAAGATACGACTTTAACCTACCACACTAAACCGCAGGATGTAAGTGCATGCTTGTAGGGATGGCTAGGGCATTAGCATCACCATCGCATTTTAACACATTGAACAGTCCAATTATTCGTGGCAAAATCTATCTGCTTTCAAGTTGAACACATTATGTTTAGGTAACTTTGCCATTATGTAGTACTAGATCATTGACCTTACATAAATTCTTGTTCTTCTTTTCGCTCTTATCTGCTTGTCCTTTTTGCAATTCTCTGAGCTTTCGCAAATGCAACTCGAACACCGAACATCGGCTTGTCTTTTCACAATAAAGTAGTCGCCGTGCTATTCCACACAACTTGTTAAGTCGCCTAGAAGCCCCAGTGAGTCAACATTTGCTTTCAGATTGCGACAGCATTAGGTCTGACTGTGGCTCCGCCCCCCCCCACACATACACACACTTGAAGTAGGGATCGCCCATCAAGGAAGCAGGCACTCTAGATGTATACCATAGCTTGCATAAATTGGCAAGTGACCTGTCGAGACATGCGTGTGGCTTTTCAGCACAAGCTCTGCAGGAGAGAAAACACACTTCACTCTTTAAATGACGTACCAGTACGTCCTCCAAGACTCGATCCGCACGTACTATTTGACCGTCCGTTTCGAGGTGTGCCGCTGTTGACATGGCCAACTTGGTGCCCAATATACACGCCAAAACTTTGATGCGAAACGGGTGTCGTGGTCAGGGACGGACCCAACAGGAAGGTCATACAGACGGGTAACAAGGTCTACAAAGACCTTAGCTGTTTTCTCAAAGAGATAATTCATTCGAGAAAGGGTCAAGATGAACCATCTTGCTGAATCGGTCCCCTGACGACAAGGATACTTTTGCGTCTATGTGCGTGGCGCGGAAGTTCGAATATGTAGTCCATACTCTTGGGCTTCCAGCTGTCAGTTGGCACTGCCAACGACCAAAGTGGGAACTAAGTGGAACTCATGAAGTTCAATTTCTGGCAAATTCCCAAGTCCTCGCATACTTCCACACTCATTTATACATGTGTAGCTAATACTAATCCCAGAAAAGAATGAGACACTTTTTCTCACGTCCAGGGTGGCCGTCCAAAGGGCTGTCATAGTACTTATGTAAAAGTCGATGACGCAAATCACCCGCATTAGGAGCACCAACCCTAGCTATATCCAAGTGTTTAACCGCATAATACAGCCATTAATTATGTACGCCGAAGCGATGAACACGTGATCGTGTCTAATCAGATTTATACTCTTCGATAAATTCTTCGAGTTGTCATTGCTTGCACGCTAATCGTCTGAATATCTTTGCATTGTCGACACGAATCGTGCATGTTTTATCTCCTGGGATTTAGATCACAGCCCAGGTATATTGATATCGCATTGGCTAACATGTTCGTCTTGCCTGGTTTGTGGAGTAAATCCAAGTTGTGCCCCACAAAAAAACCATTTGGAGAGGCGCGCTTTGCGATCGATATGTATGATCCGTTC